ACATTCTGTATGACTGGAATCTTGTGTTTCTGCCCTTCCACTTTGTGAATATACCCTGGAGTGCTCAGAATGCTTTCAGATTCAAGATGATTTCGGCTTAACAGTTTCCACCATTTCTATTACTATAGAATCGTCTCAGAACAAGCATGCTCGATCTGTTTGTTTGCAGTAAATTTTCATTAGAAATGGATTTGGGAGGGTGGGCAGAAGCTCCTAAAGGCCAAACTCTTAATCATTCCTGCCTCCTGTGGCTTTTGCCATCATCTCTCTTTGCAGGCTCGTTCTTGAGGACACTGACAGCTTGGTTTCTCTGGGTAATGTTGTACAAAGGAAATTAGCTCAGTATGTCTTCTACTGAATTCCATCTGTAGCTCAGCGTTCTAAGGTATTTGTGAATGTGGTTACTGAGCAATTTTGATAAGACAAGGCAATGTTCCAATGTCTGAGAATATTTCTCCTAAAAAATTCTTTTAAAAATGTCACTGAGCACTCTGGAAATCCACCCACGCATGAGCAATCTCCTGCAATATTCAGAGTGCTTTTCAGGTGTCACAGACATAATAACAGGTGCTTCCTCTGGGGGAAAAAATATGGCAAGGAGGGAGGCAGAAAGCAAACTGTTGGGATATTCTGGGTACAACTTCCCTCAAGTGAATCATTCCCATATGCCTGCTTTTGCTGCAGGCCCCTTGGCAGAGGAAGTGATTTGTGTGAGCGGAGGCGGAGAGATGCATTCTGGTGGCAAACTTCAGTGGAGCCCATTCTTGGCAAATCCAACTGATTGTCAGCTATTTGTCAAGTCACTCTGCCATAAATACCAAAATGCAAAGTTTGAACATAGATTTTGATACCCGCTTTTGCTCTTCTTATATGTATAATGTTGCATGAAATCAAGTAATGCTTGTTTAAGGCAAGATAGCTTCTGAAACTATGCATAAATACACTTTAAATATAAGCTAAAAGGAAAATGGAGACTAGGAACATTTGCAGAAGGCCGTCATTTGATTCCCTTTTTGAAAAACGCACATAGCTTTAAGCACAGGCATTTATCCTATTGTGAACATTTCTTGCTTGGAAGATGAAAGTCTGAACTAGTGAAAATGACTTCATTTACAGATAGACATACAGCAAAGCTGGGAATTAGGAATTCTTTCCCCCCTATAATGTGTAAGACTAGCTTTCTTATAAGTTGTGGGGAAAACACACTTCTCTTGCTAAAAAGCTAGATACTGTTGTTCTCATCTGTAAGGCAAAATCACTGAGGTGTAATAGGAAAACATGTACAGGAAGATTGCTAATGGAAAACTTGACTTATTGGAAGTCAATGACACTGGGGACAGAAGGAAACATAATTTTAAGTTAATTAATTAATTAGGTATACTCTAAATTGTACAGTGGTGTCATTTACTTAACCTGCCAGCTTAGGAAACTTTTGTTTTTAATTTTTAAAAAATTAAAAAAAATATTTCTGCCTCAATTTGTTTATTTCATATTTTTTCATGGCAAGGATGATAGAATCTACCTGTTAGGGATGAGCACTTTAAGTGATGGCTGACACACAGTAAACATTCAATAAACTTTCTTCTTTCCCCTCAAATAACATGAGGATGGGATTTATTTACTTATTACTATATTTCTAGCATCTTTTTTTGTGTGTACAAGGAAAGCCATAAATATTTCTTGAATAGATTAATTAAAATAACTTAATTTTAATTTTTATTTAAATTTAATTAATTGAATTAATTTAAATTTAATTAAAATTTTGGAAGTCAGAGAAAATTTGTGTTTGGATAGTGATGTAGCTCAGTGTTAGAGTGCTTGTCACATGTTATTTGAGTGTGCATGAGCCCCCAAGAAATCACAAGAATATCCCAGTGCAGGGGATAGGGAGGGAGAAAAAAGAAACACACTAACCTGGAATATTCCTCCTAGGTTTCATAGCTGGGAGAAAAGCAAATAGATTTAAGCATGGGGTCACTTAGGAAAATGACAGAGATCCCTAAACAAAAATGAACACTCAAATTTATTTTAGAGTCTTTTAATTCTTTAAGCGTTTGAACTAAGAATTTCTTTTAGCTGGGCATAGTGGTACACTTTTGTAATCTCAGCATTTGATAAAATGAGGCAGGAGAATTGCTGCAAGTTCAAGGCCAACCTGTGTTAAATCCTTAGGAGGAAGGGAGGAGATACTGTTAATCTGTAAAATGGAAATGAAATGATGACTCCAAAAGGATTCTGAGAACGAAGGAATATGTGACAATTCTCAACAAAATATAAAAATATGGTCCCGTTAACTTTTACATCAGTGAGTTTGTACGTTGAGTAACAATATAATCATTCTTTAGCGTTGGAAGAAAGAACCTTTAGCTAAAGATTTAAATACTAAAAATATTCAACCCCAGAGGTACCACAGACATAGACTAATTTTTTCCATCTGTGCAGTTTAGGGTAGATTTGGCATATACTCAATACCAGGGAAGAAAGAAACTATGGTTTAATCTGCTTTTAGAGGAGAGAAAGGGGGGCAGAAAAGGAGAATATTTCCTTTTATGAGCACAAATGTTAAAATATACAGCCTTCATCAAATAACTCACTGCTGAAGCAAGAACATGCAATCCATTTCCTCCTAGCCTCTGCAACCTAGAGTTTTCTATACCATGGTTTATATATTATGGTCACCGCTTTCTCATCGAAGGAAAGTAAATATAGATTATTCTTAATCAGTCCCATGTGACTCAGAGGTCAAAGGGTCAGTTATTAATAGGTTAATCTCCATAAAGCACTATTATTTAAGGACCTGTTTTTTTAATTTTTTTTATTTTTATTTATTTATTTATTTTTTAGAGCCAGAAGTTATTTTGAAAACATTACAGCTTTAAGATTGGGTCCCACCCAAGATGCCTCAACAGAGCCTGGGGTTGAGAAACTGGTTTGAGGAAAAGATAAAGAGGCAGAAAAATCCCCAGCAAATGAGCTGATGACTCATTGCTCCTTCCTTGGACTTCAGGAATGGTGAGGTGGGAAGGGAAACGAGGCAGTGCTCTGCAGACCAGGGGCTCTCTGAAGACAATAGATTCAGCGAGCTTCGAGATGTATGTGGGTTTAAAGGATAAATAAATATCACTTTCACAGTCAAGTCCCTCAAGGAAAGAACATTAGAAAACTAAACCTGATAATCTTTAAAGGAACCATCGTCCTGAATCTGGTCATTTTATTCCCTTGCTCAAAAACTTCAATAACTTCATTGCTTCTGGGTGAAGTCTAAACTAGACAATGACTCCGTGCTTTATCTGGAAGTAATCCTTAATACTTCCTTACAAGGTATGGAGACCACTTATAATTTCCCAAGTAAGCAAGATAATTTTATCCCTCATCCATTTCTTTGCCTTAAACTCTCAGCCCAGCTGGCAAACTCCTTGTGCACAAAGCCTGCCTCAAGTATTATTTCTTCTTTGAGGATTTCTCAACTCCCACTCATTCCTATCACTCTGGATGACGGTGCTTGGTCTCTGGAGCCACAGCACTTTAAGCATGCCTCTGTTAACTCACTTGCTGCCAGGAATTAGAGCCTCTCTCTCCCCAGTACCTGAGTTCTCCAGGAATTAGAGCCTCTCTCTCCACAGTACCTGAGTTCTCCAGGAATTAGAGCCTCTCTCTCCCCAGTACCTGAGTTCTCCCAAGTCGACTGTGAGTAGATTATTGTGTAGTTCTTTCCACACGACAGGAGAACAATACAAATTGTTGAGTAGAATATTAAAAGACAGCAAATACACAGATGATTTGAAACCTATGAAGTATGCCAGGATCAGAAAGCAAATGCTAATTTACACGCGTACATGACTATGTAATTTGCTTTGATTTTAAAGGTGGTAGTTCCATGATAGAACCCTTGCCTAGCAAGCCTGAGGCCCCAGGTTCAATCCCCAGTACCGAAGGGGGGAAAAATTAAAAAAAAAAGCATTATGATTATATTTCTCAATATAAAAATGTATGAATTCATTTGCTACCTAAAATGGGCTCTCCTAGAAAAGAGTCATTGAAAAGTCGCTGAGTAATGTGAAATGCTATCCAGCTGCAGTGGAATATTTGTGTTCATTTCAGTCAGCGTGCCTCTGTCTGGTACTGCCTCTTCATAGAGAACCCAAGTCAAACAGCATGTTAAGACCTTAGCTGCATTAGTGGGGACAGATGAAATCTATTGAAGGTTAACTTTGAATTTTTTAACATTCTCAACTCCAGTATTCAACCTTTTTTCCCCCCGGAGCTGAGGACCAAACCCAGGGCTTTGTGCATGCTAGGCAAGCATTCTACCACTGAGCTAAATTCTCAACCCCTAAACTCTTTTTCTTTAACTGAATACGTTAACTGAAGAATATATAATGTGCTATGAACTTTGTTTTGTTTTAAAGCCTAGCAAAGTATCTTCTTTTTTCCAGTACAAGATTAAAGAGCATGCCAGACCTGAGTATTGGTCTGTAGTGCTAGCTACTGGGGAGGCTAAGGCAAAGGATTATAAATCTGAGGCTTGCCTGGTCTATGTAGTGAGTTCCAGGCCAGCCAGAGCCACACAGTGAAAACCGTGCCTCAAGAACAAAAACAATGTAAAAAGAGGGAGAACTCTTATACTGTACGGTGGTTAACTAATCACTTCTTTGAGGTTTCCTATCATAAGTTTTGGACCTAGACTACTCAACTACAATTTGCTATTCACAGAAAAATCCCTAGAGAATGGATAACTTAAAGATGAAAGTTGATTTTTATCTGGCTTTCATGGCATAATATCTATAATGGCTTTAGAAGAATGTAAATAATTAACATTGCTAAGCAGCATACATTGATAATTTTCTGACAAACTTGTGTCTCACACCATTTCCCATATTAAAGCAGTCATTACCAATATAGCATATGATAACCAGTACCCATGAAAACCTGACAGCCTGCTCTTTTTTTTTTTTTTTAAAAATCTTTATTATATTCAGTTGCATATTTTGTGTGGCTGATATAGGAGTGGGTATTAATTCTTATTCACAAACATAGAATCACATTATCTGGCATCAAGTTGTAGAAAACTCCATTTGGAAGGTAGCTGAGTGACTTGTGAAACTTCCTTTGAAGTCAAGAATATACTAATCCTGGGCAGAGGGACAGGGGGGAAGAAGCAGCTTTTTTAGAAGAACTGGCTTAAGTTAAATTGAGGTAATTAATTTGAAATCACAAATAAAATAGTAGAAGCTCCATTTAAAAAAAAACATTTGCAAATCTTTATTAGCAATGTTAAAATTGACCAATTAAATATTTTAAATAGAAAACTATAAAACATTACACATAATCATAATTCATTCATCGGATATACTCTTCTGCTGAAATTTCTAACACATCTTCATCTGTACATTCTTCTGTCTCTGGCAAGTTGCCCCAGAGTAGGAAGTTTACACCTGGAAACAAGAGGCCACAGAGTTAGTTCTTTAGTAGGGCTGACTACTGCAGTTCAGACATGACATATAAAACTTTACACGCCGAGCTTCTCGTATAGAGTATGGCGTCGCTAGTGAAGATAACAGCAGGGAAGGATGTCTTACAAATAAAACCATCTAATACCCATCTATGACATGACCATTCTTTAGACTTTTAAGCAAGACCTTGAATGTTAGACTCTTAGAGCTCAAAAGGAACTCTGGAGTTCCATCTGCTCCAATCTTGCCTCCAGCTACACAATGCCATTCATACCCTACCTTGATAATTTAAAAAATATATTTTAGCCAGATGGTGGTAGCACATGCCTTTAATCCCAGCACTCAGGAGGCAGAGGCAGGTGACTCTCTGAGCTCGAGGCCAGCCTGGTCTACATAGTGAGTTTCAGGACAGCCAGGGCTACACAGTGAAAGCTGTCTCGAAAACCAACAACAAATGATTTTAAGAAGAGATTGCATAAGGTTCTTTTAGATCAAGTGCCTTTTTGTAGGGGGTAAGGGGCAAATTTCTAAACCAGTCATTTACTCTATGGAACAGTAGTTAATCTAATTTTCTAATCAAGACAGGAAGGGCCTGGTGGCACAAGCTATAACTCCAGCTACTGCAGTGACTAAGGCAGAATGACTACAAGTTCAAGGCCATCTTGGACAACTTACTAAGACACTCTCTCAAAAAGTAAGAGGTTTCAGGGGGAGAGCAAGTTGTGGAGGTTCAATCCCCGGTACACTGGGGTCAAAGCAGTCAATTATAAAAGGGTCTCCTAAAGTATGTGGGCTCTAGAATACAAGCCATCAAGGTAGAGCTGTACTTTAGGACTAGGTTACAGAGTCACTGTAACAAACAATAATCTGAAACAGCACTGACAGAGAATAATCAGGTCCCATTTCAAAGACCCAGCACAGGTGCAGAGAACTAGAGCAAACACACTGAGGATAATAAGATGACTAAAAATAGTAAATTAGGAGAAAATAAAAAACTGCATGAGACAACCTCAAGCTGCTTAGCTGGTAGCATGAGCAAAGGAGGAGCCAGCAGCTCTGGGTATCCACTCCACACTGAGACAGAGGCCATAGTTTCTGCCACTATTGGCATTTTTACTACAAGTATACAGAACTGTAGACAACAGATATTACTGCTTTGTGTTATCTAAAATTTTGTTGTTAGTGTGTTTTGCTTTTTTAAGATAGCCTCATGTAGCCTAGGCTAGCTTGTAACTAATGTAGCTGAGGATGGCCTTGGACTCTTGATTTTGTACTTCTACCTTCCCAGTGTTGCAATTACAAGCATGTACCACTATAGCTGGCTAAAATTTTTATAGAATGGCATTATACCAAACATATACTTGGAATTTGTCTCATTCATCTTATTTTTGAGTGGCTAAAGTTTTTATGGAATGGTATTAAACTATGTGTACTTTCCTAAGTTATCTCATTCACCTTATTCCTGAGTGCTATGGCACACAAGTGGAGCAGGGAATGGAGGACACCAGGTGAGACAAGGCAGTCTATGCTTCTGCACGCTGTGCTGCACATCTCAGCCATGGTGGCCTGTGACCTTCCAGGCAATTCTCCCGTCTCCATCCCTCACTGGGATTGAACTCAGCTCATCAGACTTTGCAGCAAATGCTTTTACCTGCTGAGTCATCTCTTCTACCTAAATCTTGTAAAATGTGTTGAAAATACAGCCTGTCATTTCTGGGTCCAATATACCTCAGCACCAAAGAGACATGAAGATGGTTGAAGCAGTGGGAATAAACAAGTTTATCTTGTTTGAAAGAGATACTGCAATCAAATCAGGAAAGAAGTTCTTATCTTCTTTATAGAACACATAGATATCTACCATGCTCTTCTCCATGGTTTTGTGCTTGAATTGCTTAGGATAAAGATCATTTCCTGATCCCCACACCAAGAATAAATGGTGATCTGCTTCTGGAAACATGTGCAGAGGAGCTGACCAGACAACAAGGAATGGTTAAGACAAAATCTAAGTGAAAATTAAGAGTCTATAAAAGTAAATGGAGAGCTTTGAGACATTCTAGGGAATCTGAGCTGAGATTTCCCAAGTGTATTTGGAAAAGCTCTGGGAAATTAGGTTTTATGTGTAGTCTAACACAGACTTTTTAGAGAACTTGCATGCAGAACTGTTGGAGTGGTGGGAATGACCTTCCCACATCACAGAACATTCTAGAGTGCAGGATTTATACATCCATTCCTTTGGTGTAACTTATTCAGGAGACTCAAGGACTGTTCCAAAGCCAATGGAAATCTCCCTTTGACAAACATCTAGCAAATCTTACTTTAAATCATAGTATTAGAGTTACAAAGGAGAGGTTTGATATATTTGGAGTCTGTACTCAGGAACTCTGAAGCAACTTAGCACAATTGGTTCAAAGGAGAAAAAAATAAATGAGGAGATTGGATCTGACAGAAGAGCCACCTTCCTCTCTCTGCCTAGGAGGAAGGAAATCTGGTCTACATCTGTTTCTCATGAATTAGCGTCAGTGCAAATCAAAGAATGCTGGTCTTTTATGTTTGAAAAATTGACCAATATTCTAAAGTAAATTAAAACTGAAAAATCTCCACCCTGTGTTTTGAATCCTATGAAGCAGGAAAAGCAGAATCAAAGCAGAAACTTTCTTTAATGTGTCCCATGGGCGACACAAATATAAAGTGTAAAGCTTAAATTAGGAGCCTATATTTACTTGGGGAGTTTGAGGAGTCCTTGCTTGAAAATGACCATCTTAACAGCTATAGTTTTAAATTAAAAGGCCGAAGTGATGGACTAAGAGCCACTGTTGAATCCCAGGCCAAAGACAAAAAAACAAAAACAAAAACCACAAGCATAATTGAAAAGTTTAAAACCCTTGACAACCTAGCTTGCAATTCATGATCTCTTGGTCTACCATGGCAAATCTCTCTCTTTCTTTCACACACATACACACCCTACACTGTAAATAAAATGCAATAAAGATGTTAAAAATCTATAATATACTTTCTTTTTCCTTCTTCCTTCTATATGTGTGTGCAAATGTATGTGTGCAAAGGTCAGAGGAGGGTACTGGTGTTCTGTTGTGTTACTCTCTACTTATACCTTTGAGACAGTCTCTCACTGAACTTGAAGCTTGCTATTTTGGCTAGATTGTCAGGGAGGTCCTGTTTCTGTCCCCTATTAAAGGGGGTTATAGGTACAGTCAGTCATGCCTGGCTTTTTCATGGGTACTGGGGGTCCAAACGCAAGCCTTTAGCCGTGTGCAGCTCTTACCCACTAAACTGTCTCTCTAGGCTCCAGTACATTTTCTTTACTAACTTAATTTTTTTTTTTTTTTTGGTTTTTCGAGACAGGGTTTCTCTGTGGTTTTGGAGCCTGTCCTGGAACTAGCTCTGTAGACCAGGTTGGTCTGAAACTCACAGAGATCCGCCTGCCTCTGCCTCCTGAGTGCTGGGATTAAAGGCGTGCGCCACCACCGCCCGGCTTTACTAACTTAATTAATGTAACATACTGGTCTTAATATTTTCTTTGACTAGAATTCTACTGTAACTTACTAATATATGTTTATATATACAGTTTAAAATGTACTACTTTTTATGTGTACGCATACTTTTCTACTCGTCTGTATGCACACCACAGTGTATGCAGGAGCCTGTGGACATGACAAGAGGGCATTAGATTATCTGGAACTGCAATTACAGACAGTTATGAGATGCTAATATGGATGCTGAGAACCAAACCTTGGTCCTCCGCAAGAGCAGCAAGGCTCTCAACTACTGAGCCATTCCTCCAGCCCCTGAAATATATTTATCTTGAAGAACTGTCAAATAGAGGCTAATTCAGTTTCTTTTCCATTCGTCAATGTCCTGGCAGGCCCCTTCCTCCTTTCTTTACACACGTGTGCATGTATACACACCTTTCACTATCCATATACTGTCTTCAAAAGCTCTCTGTAATCAGGATATGTATTATGGTACTACTTCACAGCAATAAAATGCTAGTTTAAAAAGACCAATATGCCAAGTGTGGTAGACTACCTATAATCATTTTGGAGGCTAAGGCAGGAGGACTGAGCCAGCCTGGGCTACTTGTTGTGACTGTCTCAAAAAGACAACAACAAAGCCTAAGGCATTCAGATAAGTCTGAAGCCTTCCTTCCCTCAATTCAGCGATCAGTGGTGATGAGTTTTGGCTGATAGTTTCATAACTGAACGTGGGGGGAAAGTGGACCAATGTTTTGCTTTTGATGATCCCAGGTTTCACTCTAACTGTGAAGGTTTCAGGGGTTCCCCTCAAGTACTGACAGATATGTTACAAGGAATGTATACATTGATTGTTTCTTACCAGTGGAGTCTAGTCTGTTAATGCCATAAACCGCCTGGCTGTGAAACATCCAGAAGTGTCCATTGTTGCAGGAAAGAAGACAGGAACTACATGGAACAATCACATGATAGCCTACAATGTTCCCACTTAAAAAAAAAAAAAAAGCAATTGTTAGTAGATAACACCGGTAGCAGGTAAATACCTGGCTCACAGAGGCATCTGTCTGCTAATGTAAACAGGCCATGTAAGGGTCAGTCCTCTCCTCTAAGTGGCCTGTTGCTGGCAATGAGAAGGGAGCTTACTCAGACAGTACTCACAGGCCTACAGTCTGTAAGCGAGACAGTACTTACTCAGACAGTACTCACAGGCCTACAGTCTGTAAGCGAGACAGTACTAATTTATTCGTGCATTTCTTTGCTCAGATTATTTTATTCATACTCTCTTGGGATGTGATTTGTTATGGAAAGTACTCAAAACTGATACAGAGAAAATGTATTAAATAAACTGAGACCTATGGGTGAAGGATTTTGCTAGCTTCAGGACTATAACAAGGTGAGTTTTTATAGGTCCAAGCTCTTAAACTTGTTCAACAAAGCGGGAGGTGGGTGAAGGAGGGGTCCTCTAAACTAAACATAAGACAGCAACTCCCATTTAGTTGCAGTGGTTTTGGAGGAATTCAGAAACGAAGCAAATCTCCAGTCCCCAGAGAATTGAAAATGGTTTGTCTTCAGCAGATCACCAAGTTCCTCATTCTCCCATTTTCTTTTCATGCGTTTCATGCTAACTATAGTAAACATACAGGGATTGTTTTCCTCCTCCTCCTCCTCCTCCTCCTCCTCCACCTCCTCCTCCTTCTTCTTCCTCTTCTTCTTTTTTTTTTTTTTTTTTTTTTTTCAAGACAGGGTTTCTCTGTGTAGCTTTGGCTATCCTGGAACTCGCTCTGTAAACCAGGCTGGCCTTGAACTCACAGAGATCCACCTGCCTCGGCCTCTCAAGTGCTGTAATTAAAGGTGTGTGCCACCAGTGCCTAGCTTTTTGTTTCTTTTTTTTACATAATGGCACCACGAGTTGTTTATACCTTGACGGTGAAAACTCTAATGATAGCTCTGTACACCAAGTACGGAAATCTGAGGCTTGTCAGTTAGGCTAGGCTGGCTGGTGAGGGAACTCCACAGATCCTCCTGTCTCCAGCTGGGAGCTGCAGTGCGTACTACCCGTCCAGAGCTGGGACTGCAAGTGCATGCTACCCCATCCAGCTCAAGTTCAGAGCCTCCTATGTCTGCTGCAAGTCCCTGACTGGTGGAGCCACCTCCTCTGCTCTCTGATTTTTATGAATGTAAATCCCATTGTTACCTCTTAGATCACACAGGTTTATTGGGAGCAGATATTTGTGAATGCACTTTGAAAAACTACAAATCTTATTTGAAAAGTATCACAAAGATTCTTTTAAAACAATAATTCCGGGACTGGCAAGATGGCTCGGTGGGTAAAAGCACTTGCTTCTAAGCCTGAGATCTTGAGTTCGAGTTCAATCCCTGGGTCTCCAATAGTAGAAGGAGAGAACCAATTCTTAGAAACTGTCTTCTGACCTCCATACGTGCCAGGGCACACATATGCTATACACACATACCCATGCACATAAATAAATAGGTAAATGAATAAATGTAATTAAAAATAGCTCTAAGGAACAAATGTTCTTTCAGTGGCTCACTGTCTGGGTTATATCAATGTTCAGTGCAGCTCACAGAATCGTTCTGTGCGTTTTGGTGTCAGTGTCTACCTTCGAAACTCAAGACTGTCTACAACAACGCCACAAATTACCATTTTAAACACGCGATGTCCTTCAGTTTACAGCTGCAGATTCCAGTGAAATAGCATCTTCCAATGAAATCCACGGTGCTGGAGGAGAACAAAGTTTACAGTCAAATATACAGAGGTTTGAACTCTGAAAAAATAAAAAATTTGAGTATGTTCCCTCTAAAGAATTGTGTGTGTGTCACTTGGGATGGAACTCAGGACCTTACAAATGCTAGGCAAGCACCCTCACATTGCCCGACCTTTGAGCTATATTCCCAGGACTCCATCTCACTTTTTAAAATGTACAGTTTAAAATTGGATATGGCCACATTGTCTTGGGATACTTCAGACCATCTTCATTTTGCAAAATGGAAACTATACTTATTATATATCAACTCTCCATTTCCCCTCCCCCCCCCCCCCCCCAGCTATCAATGTTCTTCAGATCTGATAAGCAGTCACAGTGTTTATCGTTTGGTACTGGTGTATTTCACTTAGCATAACGTACTCAAGGCTCCTCTCCATTGTGACATGTGACGGAATCTCTTTCCTTTAAGGGAACCTTTTAGGAATCCACTTACTAGATGAGTCAATGGAGATTTAGACTGTGTCTATCTCTTAGCTATCTCATAATTATCAGTTGTGAATATAAGATGCTTCTCTGAATTCTTTGGTATATACCTATAAGTGGAATTACTATATTATATGGTAATTCTGTGATTCTGTGTTAATAGCTAAAGAACCATCAAATTATTTTTTATAGTGGCTTTATCATTTCACATTCCTGCAGTATGTAAGGGCCCTGATTTCCCACAGCCTCACCACCAAAGGCTCTTTTAATTGTAGTTGTCACAAATTTCATAAATCCAGAGCTGAACTAGCCTCTAAAATATAAGTATAGTACAGTTTTAGAAGTTTGGGTAATATTTGTGCTCACTATAAACAGTTGACAGATTGTCTACTGAAAATCACTCTGCGGGAGCTGGAGGAATGGTTCAGTGTTTAGGAGAATGTACTGCTCCTGCAGAGAACTGGGGTTCAGTTCCCAGGACCCACATCATGCAACTTACAACTGCCCTCTCCAGGGGATCTTACACCTCCAGTCTCAGAGGGCACCTGTGCATGAATCCACCCCTCCTCAAACATACACACTCTTAAGATAATGGAAAAAAAGTAAGATAAATCTTAAAGAACAATGCATTCACTGATCCACACACAGTACATGAATCCATTATAACTCCAGCAAAGAAAATAGCAATGAAAAGGACCTGAGCTTATGCTAGACCCTAACACATAACATCTCACCCGAGGTGTCCTTATGACCACAGCTATTATAAAGATGGAAGAATATTTCAAATTTGTGTGTGAGCTTATTTAACTAAAACAACACATGGATTATAGAACTTTTGGGACATTAGGTTCCACGATTTTATCATCTAGTGCTTTTTTTTTTGGCACCACACCAAGTGCACACACACACAAACTTAAAATATTATTCCATTTATCTTTGTAATGAATGACTACACATAAGCCAATTCATAAAAGACTTCAAGGGGTGAACAGGCTATATATAACTTTACTTGCCTATTTAAAATAATTGGGTATTTTAAAACGTTCAAATTTACTATCATTATTAATCATGAATTTCACTTTAAATGAATGATTACCCACTTCTTTCCAAATAACTGTAAAAAACTTGCTTCCGTGAGAACAGTGTTTGGATAAGGCACTGAGCCTCAGAGCCATCTTAAGGGATGTGCGGTCACGTGACTGTAAGTGCCTGGAAACATGACCTCAGTACTGACCACTGTGGGTAAACCACAGACATCGTCCAGACAGTCTGCCCACTTAGATAAACTCCAAGGGAATCATCACACTGTTGAGTGGCTGGAACACCAAATGATAACCTTGACTCCCAGGGATCCCTGCCATCTACTACCCAGTTAGCTAAAGGGCTGCCCGCCGGACTTACTCGGTAGGAGGGATGTCTGTCGAGTAAAGGTCTATGTCAGTGTTGGCCAGCAACACAGCCTTCATGCCCCTAGAGCTGAGCACCTGTTTACAGAATTTGCAGCACAGGATGGACACGCAACGGTCCTTGAAAGTGCAACTGTTGGTAGACATAGCGTCTCACGTAGAACGAGGTACAAAATTTGGAAAAGGGGGAAACCGTTAGAGTTTTGATTCCCCGAGGCTAACAACCAAGTCGGGGGGGGGTTGAGTTCTCTAAAGCTCTAAAATCAGGAAGACAGTTCTGTTTTCCTGATGGAAAAGTAAAATTAGTATTTATTGGGTGGGAAGAGCAAACTTTAGTTCCTTTTGACTTGGCGGGGAGGGGAGAAGGGAATGGAATTGGAGGTGGGGAGAGACAAGTAGGGTGGAAGGGAAACTTTAAACCGGCTTTCACTTTCTGTGGTCTCCAAAGGTCCTCTGCTCCCGCTCCCGAATCCAGCGATTCCCGGTTCCCGGAGGGCGGGCGCTTCCCTTTAAAGCCTCGCCTCGCGGACCACTCCCAGCGCGAGCCCCGCTCGCAGAGCGCTCCAAGGCCTCCTCGCAGGGTTCCAGGCCCCTCAGCCCTTTCCTTCCACGCCGCTCCGGCCCTGTCCCGCGTCCCTTCTCCTGGCTCGGCCGCGGGTCCCCTCCCTGGCTCCCCCGGCTCTCGGCGTCCTCGCTCCCTCAGCTCGAGCACTTGCCACCCTGAAGGTCTCTCCCACAGCGGCCGCTCCGGAGCGAGCAGGGGTGTCGGATGCGGTCGGGGAGAGGCCGGCGCCGAGGCTCAGTCCGCGCTGGAGTCAGTCACCGAACACGCCGGGCTCTGCACTTTCTTCCGCTTTCTCTGCTTTTTCTAACACGCTGTCAGTTTGAATTGCCTGCGCCGAGCACGGATTGGGAGGACTAGACTTCGCCCCAGTCCCACATTGGAAGGCCCGGGGCCTTCTCCTGACGTGAGCGCAGAGGCCTCTCCCCAGTAACGGTGCCGAGGTCAGACCGGCTCTCTGATTGGTCCAGCTTGGCTCGGCCTCTAAGCTCATTGGCCAGCATCTGCTTGGGTTCACCCTCCTTCCCCTGTGAACTTGGAAGACACGCCCCGAGATTCTTATTGGTAGACGCTCTACGATCCTCTACTGCTTATTGGCTAAAAGTCCCTCCTCCTTTCCCCGGTCCGATTGGTCTCGCCTGCTCTGGAGAGTTTGTGTTTGGTTGTCGGTTCCATTTAATCCCGCCCATCAGTTCTACTTTAGGCTTCCACAGGCCGGGGAGGAGCTCACTCTGGGACTGCGCCTAGGCAGCTAGTGCTTGCCACGCCTCTAAGTTCCGTCAGCCCCGCCCCTACTCCGGGCTCCAGGGATCCCTTATTCCTATTGGCTAGAGGCCCCATCGGTCGATAGAAAGCGGGTGGTGATTGGCGAGGGGGTGGGCTCTGCTTCCCGGCGGGGTCTTGCGGAGTTGGCGGAGTCTCCTTAGGGAACTGGGGGGCCGAACTGCGTAGAAGAGGGTGGCGGGGAGGAGATCGCTAAGTGGGAAGCGGAACCCGGGGCCTGGGACCCGTCGCGGCAGAGCCAGGTAAAGGCTCCTTCCCCCTTCCCTCTCCGTAGCCTGGCCGCTCGCTGCCCTGACTGAACAAACCCGGACTGGGCGGGTGGACGCGGCGCGGATGCTGCTGCTGCTGCTCTTGCTCTCGGCGCCGCCTTAGCGGTGCCGCCGCCCACGGTCCTCACAGCGCCCTCCTCGGCCCGCGACCCTCCAAATCCCCCAGTACAGTCCATAATACTTCTCGGGACTGCTCATCTCCCCACCCATCCCTGCATTGCCGAGGACTGTCCTCACGCGGCGACACCGCCCTCCCGCAGCCCCTTTGCACACGGCTGGCAGGGTCCACCTCGGGGCCTCGCCGTAACGGTCCGCTGGCCTCGTCCCTGCTCTCACGGCCTTGGCTGGCAGCCCAGGACCCGGAAAGATGGGGGTGTCCCTCACAGCTTGCGGGGCTCTTTCTCCGTCTAGCTGCTGCGGTCTGTCTCCCAGGGCTCTCCACCCACTCCGATATCCCAACCTCAAGCGGGTCCCCAAAGTTGCCAACATCCTGCACTTCATGTCGTAGCCCACCGCGGTTTCTCCCACTGCTTTGCCCCCCAAAGTCGTCTTCTCGGCGCCCTCTCTGGTCATCCAAGCTTGGGCCGCTCGGCTGGCCCGGGCTCTCTCCCGCCTCAGGACCCCACCTCACGCCCGCCTCCCGCTTCCTGCCCGCCTGCACCGCGCGGCCTCTGCTCGCTCTTCCTGCGCGCGGCCCTTCCTCCAGCTGCCGGGAGTAGGCGACACTGCCTGGAGCCGCCCGTGCGCCGGCGGGGACAGGGCGGCCTAAGGAGGCAGGGGCCCTCCGCAGCACTAGAGCCCTAACCTCAGCCCGCTGCCGCCGCCTCCCGCGCCTCCTAGAGCGACTCTCACTGATGCCTCCCACCCGACTGGGATTGGGTGCGGTATTTGTGATCCCTGGGCTTGGGGGACAAAAAATATTGGGGATGCCATTTAGAGGCACCCTCGTCCCTGGCTTGAGGGAGGGGACCGCCGCTCTCCGTCTCCCATCCCCGGGGTTTCCCGGTTTAGACCCTCGCCTCTAGCCCGTTTCCTGCTTCTGCAGACCACATTGTTTTCCTGGATGTCCCGTGCGGAGCGGGCCCTTCCTGCAGTCCTTCCCCCGTCGCCCCTCCTCGTCCCGTGTCGTGCCTAACCCCCCCCCCCTTTGCTGCCAGGAGAAGCTAGTTACCAAAAACAAAACAACTGGGAGGAGGGGCAGGAGGGGAAGAAAAGTTGTGCCCGTCTGGTTTGTCCCCTCTGGTACTGATCCTGTGGACGTCTGGGAGGTGCCCCAGCAGGGGGTCACGGGCCGCGACGCAGGCTCGGCGGGAGGGCCCCTCTTAGGTTAGCTAGGCTGGGGGAAGCACCGAGGAGCCGCAGTCCCCACCCGCAGCTCTGCTTTCCCGCCGCAGTCCCCGCCGCCCGGAGCACGCGCTGCCTGCCGCTCCCAAAGTGTTCTCTTTCTGACTTAAAACAATCTGGAGGGAGCCCCCCCCCCTTCCTTCCTCGCCACGCCGGGTCTTCGGGCCGAGCGGGCGGTGTTCGGCCGAGATGAATGAGCCAAAGCTGGACTCCGAGTGTCAGCCCCGACCCCACCCCTGTTGCGATTAGGATCTGCCCTCGGACTGATCGCCCCCTCCCCCCTTTATGCATTTACAGGCTAGTGAACCGGAGCAAACGACTTCCGATCCACTCCGCGCTGCAACGGCACCCTTTTGGGATTTGATTTGCAGCATCTCTGAGCTGGTACCACCAAAAAAAAAAAAAAAAAAAAAAACCAACAAAAAAAAACCCAAAAAACCCCGCGAAGCACGCCTAGCCCTCCCCTGGCACCCCGAGACAAACCCACTCCCTCCCGGGGACACAGCTGGGCGCGTCCACACCCCCGCATCCCATACACCATGTTGTGCGGAAGGACTTCCACTCCCCGCCTGTGTCGTTGATGTCAGACCCCAGGCCAGCCTCAGGGCGCTGCAGTTCTCCTGGCTGAGGCTGCAGCTGTGGCTAGGGCTTTAGTACACAAGCCAGCCGCCGCCGCCGCCGCCGCCCCCCTCCCCGCCGGCCTCAGCGCCCACAGCCTGCATGTGTGTGCGGTAGCCGGCTGCCCATCCTGCCGCCCGTGTTACCCCGGAGCTCTGGAGACCACCGCGAGGGCTTTCTCTGCCCGTGGGAGAAGTGGCCTTGGAGGAATTGATTTCGGTGGTTGGATTTTTCTCGTGGATCTATCAAGTCACAATTCGAATTTGGAAGAAAGAAGGAAAACATGACGTCTCCAGCCAAATTCAAAAAGGATAAGGAGATCATCGCAGAGTACGATACTCAGGTCAAAGGTAAGGATTTTGAAAATTAGCATAGTGCATATGCTCTGCAGATCGGCGAGGCGTGCGTTTCCACCCCAATTTTCAGGGCGTTCGTTTCTTGGGTGGAGCAGGTGGCAAGTTGACCCCCAGAGGTGGTTTCATAGGTGGACCAGAGTCTTGGAATGTTCAACAGTGTCAGGGGCCACAGACACTGGAAATGGGCTTTAGGAGTATCTGTGTGGGGCTGGCCATTATTTTGGCAGTTCTTTCCCAAAGGCTGAGTGGGGGAGGGGCAGGAGAGTCTCCCAGAGAGAAAAAAGCTGCAATTCGCCTTTGGGTGTCTTGAGTCAGGCTTCCTTGAAGGACAGCTGAAATCTGACAGGTGTTTATTTCAAAGGTTGAAGAGAAGTCCAGACAGAAAGGCAACCTTGAGAAGGGTATACCATTTGGAGGAACCTGGGAGAGGCGGGGTTTTTCTGGTGTACAGGAGGTTTGCCATGACACCGGATTCAGGAAGTCCTTAGCCATATTGGGTGCACCTTGTACTTGTCTGACCCATGGTCACCCTGCATACAATCAGAGATCACAGACTAGAAAGAGGACCATTCCAGCTGGCTTGCATCGGCAGCTAACCCTGAAGGAGTTGGATGGTTAGGGTTTGGCAGAGTAGTGCTGCAACTGGAAAATAGGAAGACATAATTGTTTAGCCCTTCTGTGCTGTCACCCTCTGCTCCATGCTAAAAGACTGTTTCCCCTCCAGCAAAAACGTGAAGGGGTAAGGTAGAATGTAGATCTGGGGAAACCAAGTGTGTCTCCCCACCTAGTCCACTGCTTAAATTGGCTTCTCAAATCGAAGCCCATACCCAAATAGCTTTTCCTTAAACAGCGTTCCTCTTAAGAGGGTCCATGCCTGTGAAGGAGCCCTAGCTTGTGTTTGTGCAAGGCACTACCCCATCCTGACCCGTCACTGCAAAGAGCCATGTGGCTTCAACCCATTGAGACCTTAGCTGGGAAGTAGGGGAGGTGGGTGGCCTTGAATGTTCCACCACATGGTTGGAGCTCTGAGTTTTTCCTTTGTTTCAGAGTACAGAGGGAAGGGCCCCTCCTTCTTTCCCTGCACCAATGTTAGGAGACCTTTTCCTATCTTAGAGGACTTGGGAAAGGCCATGACTCCCCTTTAATGCTTGCCTTGGTCGTGGGTTAGAGGTAGAGTGTGAAATGGGTAGTCCTTTTATCTCTTGGAAGGTTGAAAGGTAGTTTGAAATCATCATTGTATCTGCAGGATTTTTTTAAAAAAAATATATTATCAGTTTGGTCAATGCAGGAGGTGCGCTAAAGAGCCTTCAGTCCACTTGACTGTAAATATTGGTCAGTTTTATTACAAGGATGGGGTAGTTGAGTAATGATAGCTCCAGCTGGATTGGAATTGAGAGACGTGTGGTTTTGAGTTATAACTGAGGTCTTGGCTACTTGTCACTCACCATTCATAATCTCAGCCTGTTTTTGTAAACAATGCCCACTGGCCTCTATGTCCTGCCCAGATGCACTGTATTCTGCTCTTGCAATGCCCCCCTACAGTTTTAGACAGATAAGTCATTAAAAAAAAGTGTCCTATTCGTAACTGTTGCCATAGGGAGTGTTAATAACTTTGACTTTCCCAGGTGGTTCTACAGAAGCACACAATTTGACTGAGGCACCGTGATTTTTATGTTTTTTTCCCTTGTTCTTTTTTAAGGTTTAGTGCTGACAGGTATCAAAATTTGCTGTTATTTTCTTAATTGGTAACAATTTCTTATGAGTATCTCAAAATTAAATACTTTGTGCATTTACAGATACTGTTCATTGAGATGATGTAATGCAGTTAGCTATTTGGAGTTTCTGTTCAACCCTGTCGCAGACTAGAGACTGTTTTATTTTGTGTCAGTATTTCTCCATTGCCTCTACTCAGCAGTATAGAGTTTGGTAGGTGGTTGACCCTGATTTCTGTCTCAAAGAGGTGCCCCATGAATGCTTTTGGAACTGATTTGGTTTAGTCCTCAGTTGCAGCTGAGGAGAATGCAGAGAACTGAGGTTTGTTCAAGGTCACACAGCTAGGTGGTAGCAGATCTGAAGGTAGAAGTAGTTTTCTGACTTCGGTATCTTCATAGTGGAAATAGTATCTGATTGTGATGAAAAAAAATTAGGCAAAATTAGATGACATATAATAGTAGTGATATGGTAACAATTTACTTTGATGTTCATTATGCTCCATCACATCCCAAGGAGTGGTCGGGTGTAATTGTCACATCCCTCCAGGAAGTATTTTTGCCATTTGAGGAAACTGAGGTATGAGCCTGTAAAAACCCTTTCAAGGTCACACAATCAAAAGCAGCAGCTTTAACTCCTTGTTTATTTGTTAACTGTTTATTGATTGCTTAGTATGTGTTCTAGGCCTTCTTTATACATGAGCGAAGAAGACAGAATTCTAGACCCTTACAGAGCTTGCATTCTAGAACTGTACTTCTGGTGGGAGGCCATAGAATTTGAATTCAAAGAGATGGCATTGGGGTTGGTGATGTGGCTTACTGCCTGCAGTTCTATCAGAATTAAGAATTTCAGCTTTTTAATAAATTGTATTTTATTTGTTTTGCTTTTTAGAAACAAAATCTCAGTGTGTAGGCCAGGCTAGCCTGGAATTGACTAATAACCCAGGTTGGGCTTGAATTCATGGCAGTCTTCCTTAGGCAGCCTTGTGAGTCTGGGAATACAGGCGTGAGCCCGCACACTGCACCAGAGCTTCAGTGTTGGACATTCTGTGGAACTCACGGTGATGCCAGGTTTACTTCTCTTACAGATGCCAAGATAAAAAATAATGTTATACAGAAATCAGTCTGGTATGGTGGTTAAAAGTGAAGGTATTGGAGGCAGAGAATCCAGGTTTAAATCTTTGATCTACTATGTTACGTGCCTTGTCTGAGTCTCAGTTTCTTAATTGGAAAATTGGCAAAATAATGTGTATTTCCTATTCCTGTGAGAAATAAAGAAGCTAGTCTGTAGATTTCATGTAGCAAGGGTCTGGCACCTGTAAGGACTCAATGACTGGATAGTCTGCCTTCTTCAGAGAGCCTTCTTGCCAACTAGGCAGGCTGCACTGAGTGTTCACCTTCAAAGCACCAGCTGTTAAATGATAGGAAACCAGAGTAGGAATGAAACAAGTTCTAGTTTAAGTTCCTTGGGGAGTAACAAAATGTGTCATGTGCCTGTCATTGAAATCCTTTGGCCATGCATGGTGATTCTGTTTGTAATCCTAGCACTTGAGAGACTGAGGCAGGAGGATTGTTGAGAGTTTGAGGCCAGTCTGGAGTAAAGTGAGATCCTGTTTCAGAAACAAAATCAAAACAAACCAACAAAACAAAGCAAAACAGCCCCCCCCCTCGCCAACAAACCAAAACAGGCCACCACCAATAAAAAAATCAAACTCCCATATTCTTTGAACATTAATTTCCTTTTATGTATGAGTAGGTAAACTGTCTGAAAATATTGTTGCATGTGTCTCTGATTTTTAGTCAAAATTATTTGAATCAAGTAGATTCTAAATAGACATTGAACTCTGCTATTATTTTTGCCTCCTTGAAAGTGCCTGCTTGCGTGTGCTCTGGAGAGTTTCTAGGTCTCAGCACCAGTTCTACCCCAGTGTGGAGCAATGGTCCCTTAGTCAGTCTGCTATGTGGCAGCCTTCTTAAAAACAACCATTGTTTCTGCCTTGTGGGTGTTTAGATTCCTTTGAAAAGTTCATGTGTTTCAGTGTCCAGCTCACAAGCACTAATGTTCTTAGTCTTTTTACATGGCTTTTCTTTCTCTCCAAATTAATAAAGTCCTTTTATATACATGAATTTCTGGAAATTCTTGACAGCCTTGATGAGATTCATGATTAGAAACTGGTGCCTGTTAGCATCATTGCTGGCACTTGAGCACTGGGTGGTGGTGAAGAATGGTACATAGAATAGAGATGATTGTCTGGGTGGGACTTGGGTGACTTCATATTACTGCCCACAATGCCACTAGGTCCTTTCTTAATTAAGTGTTAAGGGTTCTCTTTCCTCACTGAGCTAATAAGTAAAATAGTAAAATTATCATCATTTTTATGTTTTGAGACAGGGCCAGCTGACCTCTCTGTCTGCCTTCTTGCCTGCCTTCTTGCTTTCCTGCCTTCCTTCCTTCTTTCCTTCCTTCCTTCCTTCCTTCCTTCCTTCCTTCCTTCCTTCCTTCCTTCCTTCCTTCCTTCCTTCCCTCCTTCCCTCCTAACCTCCTTCCCTACTTCCATCCTTCCCTTCTCCTCTCCCTCCCTCCCTCCCTCCCTCCTACGCTCACTCCATCCTTTTTCTTCCTTTTCTTTTCTTTCTTTTTCTTTTTTCTTTCTTTCTTTTTTTAGACAGTGTCTCTGTGTAGTCTGGCTGTCCTTGAACTCTCTATATTGACCAGAATGGCCTCAAACTCACAGAGCTCCTCCAAGACAGATTCTTACTATATATATGTTGTACTTGAACTCACAGTGATCCTCCCGCCTTAGCCTCCCAAATCGGGGATTACAGCGTACACTACTATGGTCAGAGAGAAATGAAATTTTTATAATTTGCATCTGGAACATTTTGATTGGAAAAGCACAAGCAATTTCCTGGGATAGTTTAACTCTTTTGGTACTCTTTGGTAGCTGGAGATGAAATTTTAACTCTAGCCTATTGTATGTGCACGTGTGCTTGGGAATGTCAATTGGTGATATTAAACAAGCTTGTTCTCAGGAGAGGGCTGAGAAGTTCCTAGCTCATGCCAACAAAGGTCTTTTCCCTGCAGTGTCTTTCCTCCCAGCCTCCACCCCTTACTCCCTAAGGAGACTTTAAATATAATCAGTTTGTGGAAAGCTGCAGTAAAGCAGCTCTTTGGAATCCTCAAGCAGATGCTGTCATCTTTCTGGGAGGTGACTGAGTGCTCTTCTTCCCTCATTTAGGGAACGTGGAGACTCAGCAATAAGGTACACACCTAGAAGAAAATGA